TTATTTATTTTATTTATTATATTTTATTTTATTTATTTTTAATAAAAAGTTTTCTTTTTAAAATTTATTCTGGAGAGGAAAAGGACTTTTTATCTCATATTACAGTTTATTTTTGAAATTCTATGTATTCTTTTTTTTAAAGATCTAATACTATTCTTAAGTAGTATTAGATGCCTTTGCTAAAAAGTTGCATTCAGTGCAACTTTTTTTTTTTTTTCTGGATTAGTAGTCCAGATTAAATGTTTCCTCTCATAGCTTTGTTCTAAGCACTTAAAAAAAGTTTTTTTTTTTTTTGCTAATGTTGCCCAGGCTGGACTCAAACCCCTGGTCTTAAGTGATCCTCCTGCCTTGGCCTCTTAAAGCACTGGAATTACAGGCATGAGCCACCATACCCAACCTCTGTTCTAAGCACTTTAAAACAAATACTGTAAAATCAGCATCTTCTGTAACATTCATTTTTGTTCTCTTTAGCCTCCCATGTGACAAAATATTACAGGGAGAGGCCTACAGACATAGGGTATGGCTCAAAGTGGCAAAGGGAAACTGAGGGAGAGTCAAGGAAGATGGGGTTATGTGTAGGGGTGAAACAGGAGGTTGCGGTAGAGGTGAGAGGGAAGGAGCGGGAAGGTGGGCAGAATGGTAGCAGGCACAGAGGGCAGGCCTGGATCTGACCTGTACCCTCTTCTCTGACTTCACATACCCTGGGATTCTAGCTGGATCAGGACTCTGGGCCTTCATAGTGCTGGTCTCTGCCTAGACTTCCCTGTTTCCTTCAGCTAATACCCACTTAATTTTTCAAAATTCATTTCAGGCTGGGCGCAGTGACTTATGCTTGTAATCCCAGCACTTTGGGAGGCCGAGGCGGGCGGATCACGAGGTCAAAAGATCGAAACCATCCTGGCCAACAGGGTGAAACCCCGTCTCTACTAAAAAGTACAAAAATTAGGTGGGCGTGGTGGTGCATGCCTGTAGTCCCAGCTACTCGGGAGGCTGAGGCAGGAGAATTGCTTGAACGCAGGAGGTGAAGGTTGCAGTGAGCTGAGATCGCGCCACTGCACTCTAGCCTAGTGCCTGGCGACAAAGCAAGACTGTCTAAAAAAAAAAAAAAAAAAAAAATTTCATTTCAGCCTTCCCCCTAGGATGCTTCTAATTGTCATCCATTTTGGGCCTCCCATATATAGTACACTGTAAATGCTTCCATTGTAGTACTTGCCACACCATATTCTCATTCAGAGCTTGCCAACAGTTTCTCAGCGCAGATGTGCCAGGAAACCCATTCTCCTTCCTGCTGGAGAGTAGAGCGGGGCCTCCGTCTTAGATTGGCTGCCCAGGGCTGTGAACAGCTTCCTCTGTGCATCCCAGTGCCATAAGTGTTGTTTTGTATGTGTGGAAAAAGTGGGAAGTCTCCTCTAGTCAGTAGTACATTTGACCGTTTCCCCAGCAAGATGAAAGGCAGGTCAATAAGCTGGAAATGGAACTTGTCACCCAGGCCCCTGGCTCAGCGTTCTTGGTTGTCTTCTTACCACACAGATCAGTGGTTGTGATGCTCTCCTGCTGATTTCTCCTTCTGGGAGTGGTCTTTAAACACAGACATGTTCTGGGACTCAGCCCGTGGACCTCTTCTCTGTCTTCACTGTCTAGGTTTGTGTTCCTCGAACTGTAATGTGCCTTCTTGCCACCTGGGGTTTTGTTAAAAGTCAGATTCTGATTAGGGTAGGTCTGGACTGGAGGCTGTGCACTCCCAACAAGCTCTCAGGTAGTGCTGGTGCTGCTGGGACAGGAACACACGGGGAGGAGGAAGGCCTAGGGTGGGCTGAAGTCTTCTCATTTGTTTTGTGATTTCAGTGTCATCTGATACACCGACAAGTCCCCAATTGTATCCCCAGTGTGGATCTCTCCCCCAAACTTAGACTTAATATCCAGTTGACTCCCTGAGACTTCCATTTGGATCTCTAAAGAAATCTCAAATTTAATATTTTGAAAACTGAACTAATTGCCACCATTTTGTGAACACCTCCCAACTCTCCCATTTGAATAAATAGCAACTTCATTTTTCTTGCTGCTCAAGCCGAAACTCTTGCGTCATCCTTACTCTCACCAAATAACCCGCATGTAACCCATCAGATCTGCTCTCACGGTATGTCCAGGATCTGACCATGTCTCACTACCTACACTGCTTCTTGTCTAGATTTTTGCAGCAGCCTAACTATTCTCTCTGCTTCCACCCTGGACTTGGTTCAGTCCAAAGTAAATCTGTTAAATGTAGGTTAGATTTCCTACTCCACTGTTGAAACCCTCCAGTGACTTCTCCCCTCACTCAGCAAAACTCAGAGCCCTTGTAGTGGTCTGCAGGGCCCTTGTGTAGTGGATATAATCTGGAAGCTGCCTGGACCCCACCCCTGACCAGTTAAATTGCAATCTCTGGAAAATGGAGTCCAGGCTTCTGGTTGTTTGATTTTGGAAAAAGCTCCCCAGATGATTCTGATGCAGTCTACCCAGGCTCTGGCCTTTCCTTCCTCCTTCGAATTCATCACCCACAACTTTATCCTCCTCCATGTATGTTCCAGCCACAACAATCTCCTTGCTCTTCCTTAAACGTGGCAAGCATGCGTGTAACACGTTCCTGTGAGAAACACTGCTGAAACAAGAATAAGTAGTAAGAGCAAGATGATTCTTGCCATCATACTGATGAGTTTTAGTTGAATTTTAAAACATATACAGTGTTGAAAAAAGAAATCAGCTTTGCCTTTTTGTCTTGAGTTAAAAGCAGTATGCAGTTTTTCCTAGTTTTATATGTGACAGTCTATGCTTAGTCATTGTTTAATAAAAGATCCAGGTACTAGACTTTCTTCAATATGTTAAAAAGGAAAAAAGGAGTGTGTGGCACCATCTCGCTCCTGCTGTAACCTGCAGTGGTTCTGCATCATTGGCACCTCCAGTGTGTCTTTGCTACCGGGTTAGTGCCAGCCAAGCTGAATATACTTATCATTGATTTTAAGTTGTCTTATTTTTACTGAAGATACCATATGTCCTAGTTTTTTTTTTTTTTTTTTTTTTTTTGTCTCTTATTAAAAAAGTAATATGAGTCCAAGCTAAAAATTCAGTGGTCTGAAAGGGCATATAGTGAGAAGCCAGTTCCCTTCCTGTCCCAGTGTTCAGCACCCATTGTGACCAGTCAGTGTGTCGTGTCGTAGTTCTTAAGCATTCTTTGTTCTTGTTATTTAAACGTTTTTGCCTATTGAATTTTAAGAATTGTTGATGTAATGAAATAAGTAAAAATGCATGCCATAAGTTTTTCAACATCTTTTAACAAATAGAAGATTAAATTATCAAAATGACATTAAGGGTACTAACTATAAAATAATAAAATAATTAATTCTAAAATAGGTAATTCATAGAACATTTTCCAGGGTAACCATTCCTTTTCCTCTGAGTTCTAGGAAGCTCTCTCCTCCATGAATTGAAATTTGTCTGGCGCCATCTGGTTCTCTGAGAGTGTGCTCCAGGCTTCCTCTGTCCCAGGGCCTGCTCTGTCTCTCCTGTGTGCCCATTTAGAGTCAGCTTTTCCTTTGAGTGTTGCCCTCTTGCCGGCAGTGACCTGCTCCCTGAATCATTCTCCCTCTCTTGCCTTAAGTAATCAGGTTTCCCTGACAGCTGTTCATGTGCAGGACCTGACCTCTTTCTGATGATCTTCCCCACTGGCTTCTGTGTTCAACAAATATTTATTGAGGAACTTGCCCAGCCCTTTTTATTGGCCTAAATGGATAAAATAATGGATTTTGGTTTGAGATACTGATTCAGATTCTAACTCTGCCTCTAATTAGTTGTATGACTAGACAGATTGCTTAATTTTTCTGGGTCCCTTCTCATTAAAATGAGGCCCGTAGTAGTGCTTTCATTATAGAGTTACTAGGAGGATTTAATGAGATCGTTTATGCAGGTTGGGCGCTGTGGCTCACACCTGTAATCCCAGCACTTTGGGAAGCCCAGGGGGGAGGATCACCTGAACCCAGGAGTTTGAGACCAGTCTGGGCAACATAGGGAAACCTTATCTACAAAAACTTTAAAAATTTTTGTAGATTTAGTGGGGCATGCCTTGTAGTCCCAGCTACTCTGGAGGCTGAGGCAGGAGGTTGAGGCTGCAGTGAGCTGTAAGCATGCCGCTGCACTCTAGCCTGAGTGACAGTGAGACCCTGTCTCAAAAACAAAAGAGATTGCTTATGTGAAAAGGTTAGCACAGTGTCTTTCAAAAGATGAATGGATAAGCAAAACATGGTATCTCCATACAGTGGAATATTTTTCAGCCTTAAAAAAACTGAACTTCTGACATGCCTCAAAACATCGTTGAACTTTGAAGGTATGTGCTAATGAAGTCAGCCAAACACAAAAGAATGAATACTGTATTGTTCTACTTACATGAAATATCTAGATTAGGTAAATTCGTGGAGAAAGAAAGTAGAATAGAGGTTACCAGGGGATGGAGTGGAGAGGGTGGGAGAGAAAAAGGGGTAGTTATTGCTAAATGGTGACAATGTTTCTGCTTTGGATGATAAAATAGTTTCAGACATAAATAGTGGTGATGGTTGCACGACAGTGTAACTGAAATTAATGCTACTGGATTGTACGTTGAAAAATGGTTAAAATGGAAAAGTATATACTATATATATTTTACCACAGTTTAAAAAAAATAACGTACCAGAAACCACTGAATTGCACACATGAAATGGGTGAAATGTATGGTATGTGAATGATGTCTCAGTGAAGCTGTTTAAAAGCAATCGTAGCATGGTGCCTGGCATATACATAATAAGTACTGAATAAATGATAGTTGTGGTGGTAATCGTCAATATTTAGTGAGCATTTCAACTTGATTCTAATTTACATTAGAGCAGTATTTAATGGTCAAAATAAAAATGTTTATTTCAGTTTTGTCTCTACTGGGCTGTCATTAATTTTCCCATATCTCATTTCTGTGCCTCAGAGTTATTGATTTAGGAGTCATGACTCCATGTGATAAGATACTGAAAGCTGCTCTTGACCACAAAGCAGGTACTGTGCAACTGTACTTTGGGAATTTCTCTAAATGTCATATCCCCAGGTGTCTGTCATTCCCCCAGGTGTCTGTCAGTGAATAGAGGGATCTGTGGGACATACAGACAGTCAAGTGCCAGCTCCTAAACGGGGTTGCTTTTGTTGCCATTCCTAATGGGGGCTGAGAGAGGTGAGTGAGTAACCATGGAACCGAGTACTAGAGATGGGGACAGACCTTCTTATAGGAGAACAGTTGTATTAGATTCTTTTTCTCTGTGTGTAGTCATTTTTGTATTTCTTCTTAATACTGTGATATATTCAAGTCTGGGAAATCATGAGCTAAAGGTATCTTCTATTGCATGGCTTCCTAAAACTGGCAAGTAATTATTACAACCTTAAGTTGATTTCTTATTTACTACCAAAAAAACTATGGCAAGTAATTATTGCAACCTTAAGTTATAAATTTTATTTACTACCAGAAGCAAACAATAAATTGAAATTCCCCAGTCAGAAAAGATATCTTAGAATTAGAAATTGGGGATAGGCACAGTGGCTCATACCTGTAATCCTGGGAGGCTGAGGCAGGCAGATCATTTGAGATCAGGAGTTTGAGACCAGCCTGGCCAACATGGTGAAACCTCAGCTCTACTAAAACTGCAAAAATTAGCCAAGCTTGGTGGTGGGCACCTGTAATCCCAGCTACTCGGGAGACTGAAGCAGGAGAATTGCTTGAACCCAGGTGGCAGAGGTTGCAGTGAGCTGAGATCGCGCCATTGTACTCTAGCCTGAGCAAAAAATGAGACTCCATCTAAAAAAAAAAAGAATTGTAATCGGGAATTCATGTTAAGTTTTTTGGTCTTTATTATAAAAATGGATCTTCATTTTTCTCCTTTTTCTTTTATTCTCCTCACTGTCCTTTTTTTTTTTTTTTTTTTTAATAGATATAATTGGCCTGTCAGGACTTATCACTCCTTCCCTGGATGAAATGATTTTTGTTGCCAAGGAAATGGAGAGATTAGCTATAAAGATTCCATTGTTGATTGGAGGAGCAACCACTTCAAGGTAAGTTACACTAATGAGCTTTGTGCTCACTTCAAATTCTCTTAAATGCCAGTGTTTAAAAACAATGGTAAACCTGTTTTGTTTTGGATTTTCCCTTATGTTTAGTACATTGACTTTTTGTTATATAAACACAAAATTTTCTGGTCTTCACTTGGGCAAGAGCCAGAATACTTACAGAGCATGCTATAGAAAACTTTTTTATAATTTCTATTCTTTGCTTTTTCTTGGATTTCTTTGGCATGCAATAATCTTTCTTAATGCTCTCACTTCTGATTCAGTTCCTGAGAATTCTAATGAACTCTTCTCTTGAAATCAAACTGAGTGGAGAAGCTGTGTTTTTGGCACAAAGTCATTACTTGAACTTTTGCCCACTCTGTCTTGAAGCAGGTGTTTGGTTGCATAATTACAGGTTCCTTTGAAGGAACTCTAACCTTGTAGTAGTTTGGAGACAGAAAACCTGTCTAGAAAGAATGAACTAATGATCACTTCGTAGAGTTTCTGAAAGGGGAGCTTTTTGGGAACCTTTGGGTTAGCAGCATTAAGAGGTATAAAATGTAAAAATGAGAAAGTTCAAATTTGTTCGCATGATAATTATTCTGTTTACTAGATTTTTCCTGGGATCATGATCATAGTGAAATGTGGTAAGTGATACCCTAACTGTGGGTACTAGACTTTTTATGCCACCACAGTTCATTTTCTCAGGAGCATTATCATGCTGGAACATTGAACTTAATGGTCCCATAGCATCTAGTTTATTTTTCTGATGCAGAAATGCAATAAAGGTGTGGTTATAGGTATACCAGAGTTCCTTTTGCACTAGAAACAACTGTACATTAAGCCAATTTGTATAGGGTGGTTCAGAGGAACAGAATCAATAGGGTGTGTTTATATGTAGAGAGAAAGAGATTTATTTTAAATAATTAACTCCTGTGATGGTGGAAGCTGGCAAGTCTGAAATCTGCAGCCTGGCGACACAGGTAAGAGTTGATTTCTTGAGTCTAAAGACAGGCTGAAGGTAGAATTTCTTCTTCCTTGTAGGGGTGGGAAGTGGGCAAGGGACCTTAGTCTTGTCTCTTAAAGGCCTTCAACTGATTAGACAAGGTCCATCTACATTGTGGATGATAATCTGCTTTACTCTAAGTCTACTGATTAAAATGTTAATCACATCTAAAAAAAAATATTTTCACAGTAACATTTAGATTGTGGTTAGCCAAAAACTGTATACCATGGCCTAGCCAAGTTTATACATGAAATTAACCATCATACTATTTAAAATTTGAATGGATCATCTTCATAAGTAGAAACAGTATTATGTGTCTTGTATCTATTAGCTTCTTCTTCATACTTAAAGGATTCAATAGTTTGATTATCATTGCTAACATTAGAAACTAGGGTTGGTTTTTCCACAAAGGACTTATGTACTAGGAAATATGGCAGAGTTGGTCTCAAGGGATATGGCCAACCATTAATAATGGGTTTTGATCATGGTCTTGGGTAATTGATGACAAGCTTAGTGAAGAGAACGGTAAGAGGACCTATGGACTGTTGTCAGAATGACAGACTTTTTAATATCAATTGTAAAGTAGAATAAATAAATATTTGAATGAGCATAATTAAAATACATTATGAGTTATGTAAATATGATGCTGGCTTCAAAATAAGAACCTTTTTATATGGTGGGACGCTGCACTCAGAAATTTGCTACTTGTGCAAATTGGAACTCTACCTAATAGTCCATTTTATCATTTCCCATGTAAGACCTACCAGATTAAAGAAAAAAAAACATTGAGAAGCAACATGGCTAGCCTCTCAAGGTGCGTTATTGGCCGTATTACCCTGTTAATGATTTTTAGCAGTTATAGCCTGGTATATCAAATTAGAATTGACAAGATAGGAAATCACCAACATCTCTTCAGTTACTGCAAAATACCTATTCTCATTGTCTGGGAAACTGTGAATGTGTTTGGCCTAAAGGTAGAAGCTGGGTCCCCTGACCTCCTAAGGTTTCTTTCAACTCTCCAGTGCTTTGCTTCTCTATGAGCTCTGCCTCTTCTGGTTCTGTTCTTGTCTATGCCTGTTGCAGTTTCTCGGAAATTGCTTGGAAAATAAGAGCTAGTAGGTAGCTCTGCTTCCGGGAACTATTCCCTTCTACACTGTGGTGCTGGAACAGCCTTTGGAAAATATTCTTGTGCAACCTCCAGGAACTTCAGTGTAGAATTCCCCAGTTCTGACTCCATTCTAATTAGTGGCAGTGGATGAGGTCTGAGACCTGAAGTCTTGCTTTATCAAGCTCTCTTATTTAAGTAAGTGCTTTTACAGAAGTTTAGCAGTTATACAGAAAAGTACACGAATCATACAGATGTACAACTTGACAAGTTTTTACAAAAGGGAACCCACCCATGTAACCACCTCCAGATCAAGAAATAGAACACTAATGGCACCCTAGGAACCTCACCAGGTTCCCCCACCCAGTCATCCTTTCCAACAAAAGTAACCACTGTTCCTTCTTCTGTCACCATAGGTTGGTTTTGCCTGCATTTCAACTTTATATAAATGGAGTCATATTGTATATATTCTCCTGGATCTGGCTTCTTTTGCCCCACATCATGTCTCTTAGGTCCAGCTTTGTTACAATAGTTGTTAGGGGTGTTTTGTTTTGTTTTTAAATGTAGTATTCCATTGTCTAGTGTGCTGTGACTTATTTTCTTTTGCTACTGTTAGTGGACATTTGGAGTTTTCCACTTTAGGGCAATCACAAACAATGCTGCTATGAACATTTATGAATTTTGGTGCACATGTATGTGTATTTCTGTCTGGAAGCAGAATTGCCAGACCATATGGTATGCCTGTGATCATCTTTATTAACTATTGCCACGGAGTTTTCCAAAGTCACTGTAGCAGTTTACACTCCCATCAGCCATTTTGAAAGTTCCACATCCTCTGCAGTCGTATCCGTTTTCATGGGTGTGGTAATACCTTGCTGTCGTTTCCGTTTGCATTTCTCTGCTGATCAATGATGTCGCGCACAGTTTCATTTGTATATTGACCATTTGGATATGCTTTTTAAGTATTTTTTAAAAATTGGGTATTCTGCCTTATTGTTACTGGTTTGTACACATTCTTTAATTTATAGTATATACAAGCCCTCTTTTATCAGAAATATATATATTGAAAAAATAGATTTTTTTTTCAATCTGGCTTGCCTTTTGCTGTCTTAGTGCTGTCTTTGGATAATGAAAGTTCTAAATTTATAAAGTGTGATTTATTAGTCTCTTCATATATGGTTAATGCCTCTTGCATCTGAATAAGTAAATCATCTCCTAGGAGAGCCACCTTTTCTAGAAAGCATTGAGGAGTTGGAGTGTCTCAGAAGCCCATCTAAGAGCCCTTACTATTATTTCCTACAAACCAGTGGAGGACTTAGCAGTAGCTTATTAGTTCAGGATTTCCACATTTTCATGAAAACATTGCTGAGGGGAAATAAGCCTATGGCTTTCCCAGACATAGGTGGCTTACAGTAGCTTGAGTAGAACTAGAACTGTACCCCCAAGACACTCAAAACAAAGGTTAAGGCTGTCAGGTGCAAGAGTGTCCAGTCTTTTGGTTTCCCTGGGCCACACTGGAAGAAGAATTGTTTTGGGCCACACATAAAATACGCTAACACTAAGAATAACTAACGAACTAAAAAAAAAATTGCAAAAAAATCTCATAATGTTTTAAGAAAGTTTACGAATTTGTGTTGGGATGCTTTGTGTTGGGCTGCATGTTGGACAAGCTTGGTCTAGTGGATGAATCAATATTTGGAGAAATTGAAAGAGTTATATAGATTTGAGGTTAAGTATAGGTGGAAATATGCTTTGAGTGTCCTTTTTTAACCTGTAGCTATGAGAGAATAGAAAATCGGATATTCTTCTATCTGTAATATAGATGGTTTTGGTTTTACAAACTAGAAAAAACTTTAATGGAAATCTGGTCCTTTAGCCGCAGAACTTTTCAAAGGCCTGAGATCTGGCAGTCATCTTTCAATTTTTAACTGATTTATAGCCAACAACTGCAAAATATCTTAAAAAAAAAATACATGGAGAATTCAACAGAAAGTCACATTACTCAAAGGTAATTTTCTTAGTTAAGAAAATTAACTCAATTTTCTTATAGTTAATTTTCTGAGTTTTTTTTTTTAATTGTAGGAAATAAGATACTGAGTCCTATAAGTAATTTCATTTTCTTCTTTGTATTGGTCACAGGGAAGCTGGGAGTTTAGACCAGTGTATAGGATTTCAGGAATGATTTTATATGCTAATCTCACTCCTGATTCTATCTTAAATTGTCCCATCTCTGTTTTTTCTTTCTCTCATTTTTCTCACCAGATTTTAAGTGCTGGCCATGCTGTATTTATGTAAAAGACCATAAATTAAGTCTGTAATAGTATACAATATGAAATAAATGCATAGAATATCTGTTCTTATTCATAGTATTAAAAAACATTTTCTGAGGTTAACACCATTATACCTGTTTGACAGGTGTGGGAGGTGACTAATTAAATCCTAAGTGTCCATGAGTGACTTAGCAGAGACAGGATTTGAGATTCAGCCTCAGTTTCTAGGTTTTTACTTTTTATGTGTAAGAAGTGGAGAAGAGATTCTGATATTTTGCATCTTTTTAGACTTCAAAAAGAAGTCTTACAGCTGGAGAAGCTTGCTTGAGTGGAAACTTAGAAGAAAGTAGAATCAATTATTGGAGTCAAATTATATGGCGGCCAGAAGCACTTTTTTTTTTTTTTTTTTTTTTTTTTAGA